ATGAAGGGTGGTGCGCGATCTATACTGGATGGAATTGACTATGATGAAGGGTGGTGCGCGATCTATACTTGATGGAATTGACTATGATGAAGGGTGGTGCGCGATCTATACTGGATGGAATTGACTATGATGAAGGGTGGTGCGCGATCTATACTGGATGGAATTGACTATGATGAAGGGTGGTGCGTGATCTAACGATCTAACAATACATAACAAAAGAAAAGGAAGCGATGGAATTGACTATGATGAAGGGTGGTGCGTGATCTAACAATACATATCAAAAGAATAAGAAGCTATGGAATTGACTATGATATACTATGATGAAGGCTGGTGCGTGATCTAACGATCTAACAATACATAACAAAAGAATAAGAAGCGATGGAATTGACTATGATGAAGGGTGGTGCGTGATCTAACATAACAATACATAATCAAAGGAAGCTGGGGACGATGGGAAGTGGTGAGGAAGGGAAGTGGTGAGGAAGGGAAGTGGACGAAGGGAGGTGGTGACGATGGGACGTGGTGACGATGGGATGTGGTGACGATGGGAAGTGGTGAGGAAGGGAAGCGGTGACGAAGGCAAGTGGTGAGTTGGGGAGGAAGCGGGAGCACAAAACCTTGTGTTTTTCCGTGTAAAGTGGCTGCAGGCGACGATGAAAGGTACCTCATGTGTGCGACGGGTGCGGCTGCGGTCGTTTCTGTCGCGAATTGTTCCTCCTACGTGTTTTGCAACGAGTGGTTGTTCCTGTGTGCGTAGTTCTATGCGTTTCTTGAAGCTGTGGTGGCAGATTGCATTGGAATGGCTGCTTGATTGTCGTCATCTGATGTTGCCACGTGCGTAGATAGGTGCAGGTTTGCTACGGGATGCTGCCAAACGCATTGTAATGGTTGCATGAATGTTGCATGGGCTATGTTTTGGGGAGGAAGCCGGAGCACGAAACCTTGTGTTTTTCCGTGTAAAATGGCTGCAGCCGGCGATGAAAGGTACCTCGTGTGTGCGACGGGTGCGGCTGCGGTCGTTTCTGTCGCGAATTGTTCCTCCTATGTGTTTTGCAACGAGTGGTTGTTCCAGTGTGCGTAGTTCTATGCGTTTCTTGCAGCTGTGGGCTGCGAAACGCATTGTAATGGCTGCATGAATGTTGCATAGGCTATGTTTTCAAGAAAAAAACCGGAGCACAAAACCTTGTGTTTTTCCGTGTAAAATGGCTGCAGCCGGCGATGAAAGGTACCTCGTGTGTGCGACGGGTGTGCGGCGGCGGTCGTTTCTGTCGCGAATTGTTCCTCCTATGTGTTTTGCAAAGAGTGGTTGTTCCTGTGTGCGTAGTTCCATGCGTTTCTTGCAGCTGTGGGCTGCGAAACGCATTGTAATGGCTGCATGAATGTTGCATGGGCTATGTTTTGGGGAGGAAGCCGGAGCACGAAACCTTGTGTTTTTCCGTGTAAAGTGGCTGCAGGCGACGATGAAAGGTACCTCGTGTGTGTTACGGGTGCGGCTGCGGTCGTTTCTGTCGCGAATTGTTCCTCCTATGTGTTTTGCAACGAGTGGTTGTTCCTGTGTGCGTAGTTCTATGCGTTTCTTGAAGCTGTGGTGGCAGATTGCATTGGAATGGCTGCTTGATTGTCGTCATCTGATGTTGCCACGTGCGTAGATAGGTGCAGGTTTGCTACGGGATGCTGCAAAACGCATTGTAGTGGTTGCATGAATGTTGCATGGGCTATGTTTTGGGGAGGAAGCCGGAGCACGAAACCTTGTGTTTTTCCGTGTAAAGTGGCTGCAGCCGGCGATGAAAGGTACCTCGTGTGTGCGACGGGTGCGCTGCGGCGGTCGTTTCTGTCGCGAATTGTTCCTCCTATGTGTTTTGCAAAGAGTGGTTGTTCCTGTGTGCGTAGTTCTATGCGTTTCTTGAAGCTGTGGTGGCAGATTGCATTGGAATGGCTGCTTGATTGTCGTCATCTGATGTTGCCACGTGCGTAGATAGGTGCAGGTTTGCTACGGGATGCTGCGACACGCATTGTAATGGCTGCATGAATGTTGCCTGGGCTATGATTTGGGGAGGAAGCCGGAGCACGAAACCTTGTGTTTTTCCATGTAAAATGGCTGCAGGCGACTATGAAAGGTACCTCGTGTGTGCGACGGGTGCGGCTGCGGTCGTTTCTGTCGCGAATTGTTCCTCCTATGTGTTTTGCAAAGAGTGGTTGTTCCTGTGTGCGTAGTTCTATGCGTTTCTTGAAGCTGTGGTGGCAGATCGCATTGGAATGGCTGCATGATTGTTGTCATTTGGTGTTGTTATGTGCGGAGAGAGATTCGGGGTAGCTGCGTGATGCTGCTAAACGCATTGTAATTGCTGCTTCAAGGTTGCGAGATTGATATGTCAGCAGATTTTCGCCATTTTGGCGCTAGTAATTTTCCTTTTAAAATTCCTTTTAAAAAGTGTTTCAAAATCGTCTTTTTGTCGCTTTTACGTCGAGATGCGGTTTTGGAGCTGCAGTTTCCGAGGCCGTTGCACGTAGTTCTATTGGGTTTTGCAACTCAGTCGCTGCAGATCGCATTGTAGTGGCTCCGTCAAGGTTGCTCGGTGCCGCGGCTGCATGCGTAATACTATTGTCTCAGAAGAGATGAAGTGTGGGGTGTGAAGAGTGCAGTGTGAAGTGTGGGGCGTGAAGAGTGCAGTGGGCATTGTGAAGTGTGAAGTTTGGAGTGTGAAGCGTGAAGTGTGGAATGTGAAGTGTGAAGTTTGGAGTGCGAAGAGTGCAGTGTGAAGTGTGGAGTGTGAAGTGTGAAGTGTGGAGTCTTAAGAGTACAGTGTGAAGTGAAGTGTTGACTGCGAAGAGTGCAGTGTGAAGTGTGAAGACTGTCAAGTGTGAAGACTGTCAAGTGTGAAGTGTGACGTGGAGCTTCAAATGTGACATGTGAAACAAGACACCAGTTTCGCAGAGTGCACGCACGCACGGGCTTCGCTGGCGCACGGCGCATGCAAGTTCTATAGATGAGAAAGGTCTTATATATATCTTTAAGGCAACTTCCGCCCCGCCTCGTGCGGGTACTACTGGTATGAAGTACCAATCAAAATGGTTGATTTTCCACATTTACATTAGTTTACCCCCAGGTGCTCAAGAAATGATTTGATGGGATATATGGGATCCTAACCACGAACGATTTGTGTTCAAGCCCCTCTGTTTGTTGATCATTTGGGATGGTACCACCCTTCATATATTGGGGATGATCATACCATATCATACCCTCTGGTAAACTAACATTGCTATGGAAAATCACCATGTTTAATGGGTAAATCAACTATAAATGGCCATTTTCAATAGCTATGTTAAATTACCAGAGGGTAATACCAATTTGATATTCATCAAATATCAACCGCAGCCATGAATTATCCATGACAAGCGTCATTGGTAATAGAAACACCCAATTATTGATGTTAAGTCATTGGGCTGGATGTTGCAAGAGTTCAACCTGAAAAGTTCGGCTCTGAGGATGGTTCCCCTTACACCATTCCATGGATGACAAGGGATCATGGGACGACTCATGGATGATGGAGTGATGGGTGATAAAAGATGACTTACTGGTGCGTTTTACGTAGGCTTGCTGGATGGGTTGCTGGGGGTTGCTGGGATGATTATTACTAGTGATTATGGATCATTCCCGAAAATTCCCTGTGTTTAACACCAGTAAATTATGCATGATTGTGGAGGATTGTGGATGATTGGATGATGGATGATGGATGACTAATAGTTGATGGATGACTAATATAGTTGATGGATGTTGATGGACGATCGTGGATGATGTCGTAATTTGTTTCTCCTGGAAGCAATATACACGCGAGAGGAAAATCTCTGGAATTGACCAGCTAAAGCCGGATTTTCCGGCATTTCTTATTCCTGTAAGGTGGCCCCCACCCTAGAATAGTTCAGTTGGTTTGAACTAGTTTAACTATGGTTTGTGATAGATATATCTGCAGTTCATGGTGTTTATAAACCACAACCTTGACATCTAGGGTCTAGGGGTCCCAGCTTGGACTTTTTTTGTCTGGATTTATAGCATTTTTTTTACAGCATCACTGCAGTGATGTCGCAGTGAGGTCGTTACCCTCTGGTAATTTAACATAGCTATTGAAAATGACCATAGAAATAGTGAGTTTTGCCATACAAAAATGGTGGATCTTTCCATAATTATGTAATACCAGAGGGTAAACCTCCATTTTCCTATGGTTTTCCTATGGTTTCTCCAGATTCCAACCACCGGTGACCTCGGCACAATATGGAGACTCGGCGGCAGTTGAAGTTGTCGATCTGGGTGGCCTCATTAGCGCTGAGGGCCATTGCAAAATGGGATCCCCCAGATTCTCCATGGATTATCATTATCCAATATCATCCCAATATAGATTTTAATATTCAAACCTATGGTTTGGGGGATCCCCCATTCAGGAAAACCTGTATGTATATATATATATATATTGATTGGTGAAATGAAGGTTTTTGGGTTCAAACCACCCCACGACGAGTTTAGTTCCCTAAAAACCTTAGTGGGTGTCACAACCCACGGGCCATTTCGTTTTCGATTTTTCGCGGTCGAGCAGCTGCGTATTATCGGGCCTGACAGGTTTGGGGTCAACCTTTGCCGCGGTAGGCAAAAAACCCTGTCGACAACACTCCACTGATTTTGGTGCATTTCCAGGTTGATTTTCCCTGGTCTGGCCTTTATTGAGTGGTCGCATTTTCAATTTCAAATTTTGGGACTCCTTTGCTGAACTGTTTCTCACTGGTAAAGGTTTTTCACATTTTTGCACTTTGGATATCTACAATTCGAGATCTAATTTGGCTCTGCGGTGGCCTTACAACCGAGAAACACTGAACATTGACATTTGGATTTCCACATTGGTTTGAACCGGCTCGCCTTCACTGCTTGTGGTTTTCCCCGTTTGGTGTGTTCAGCCCTCTTGGTGCTACTGATCATTGTGGTAGTATTTGACACATTTCATCATTTCGCCCAATCAAGCAACCTTGAGAAGGAAGAATCGACGGGAAAGAGCCAGTGCACGTCGTCTCTGGTTTTTCCATCGCAGGGGTATAGTCAAGCTGAACAGTGGCACTTTGCACAGAATCAAGCGGACTTTAGCCCATCATCACTCAAGAGATCGGCACTTCTTACTGACCATCAAGGAATCAATGTCGCAACAGACAGAAGCATATCCTTGGCGCTGTTTGAATTGCAATCGAATCAACAAAAAGCTAGCCATCACATGTGCCAAATGTTATGCACACTGGACCAGTGGCATCAGGCACAGCACCGAGCCCAAGAACATGAGTTCGAGCCAGTCGCAGTGGAAACCGTGGCAGGAATGGACAGATACAAATGCAGACTGGACATGGCAGGACCAGAGGTCTGGTTCAAGGCGACCAAGTCGGAAGCCAAATCGAGAAGCCACCCCACACCCAGATCAGCCAGCCCCAGGCAACGCAAGGGGAAGGGCAAGAATGCCACCAAGGGAAAGGGCACAGGTGGAAAACAGGCCGATGCACAGAATTATCCGGCCATTCCCAAAGCCATGCAGCCCTTTGGTGGCACCAATTCTGCAGTAGATCATATCATTCCGGGAGGTGCAACATGTTCAACAAATGCCAATGCCTCTGGGACGGGATCGCAGATACAGGCACAGAATCAGGAATTGGTGAATGCCCTGAGAAAAGCTTATCCGAATATGGAGACGACGCCGACAGATGTCAAGGAGTTGATCGAGAAAACCGAGCAGAACCTTGCGAGGTCCATCACGACCAACATCCATGCCCCAACAAGAGCGCTCAGCAAAGCACAGAGACTCTTGCAAGATGTGACAGAGGCCAGGCGCAAGCACAGGGCAGCCTGGATGGAGTATCTAAAGGATGGACTTCAAGCATGGGAAAGTTCATTAGAAGGCTATCGGAGGCATCAAGCCGCCTTGCAAGAAGCTGCGGCGACTGCCCGTGCAGATATTGCGACAGCAAGACAAGCCATCGAAATGAATGCAAAAGCTGCAGAAGATCCATCTGCACCAAGAATTGTCATGGCTCAACCGATTCGAGAGGAGATCGAAGAAGCTGGACAAGAGGAACAAGTGGATCAAGAGGAGGAGAAGCTCCGATCATCCCTGCAGAGTGTTCTCACAGCATGTGCAGGATCCCTGGGACTGGCAGCTCAACCTCAGATGACGGGAGACAATTCCACAACAGATGCTCAAGAGATCCTGGACAACGAAGACGATCGCAAGTCCAAGCGCCAGCGATCACAAGAGCCTGGTGGCACAATGCGTGGCAAACCTGCATCGTCGTGAGTGCAGGCCGTGACTGTACAGTTTACTCATGGAATGGACAGCACGAGGCCACTCCATATGGCTGTTTCGCATCTTCTGTTGAGGCCTATGGGTATCATCAGTATACCTGTGCAGCAAGCAGTTATTGTGTAACAGACCAGTTATTTCAACCTTCGATTTCTTGGCAACATTCCATAGTGTTTGAGCCTGATTTCAAAGTCCGTATCAAGCTATCCAAAATGCGTTGAGATGCCGAAGTGAAGTTCTTCTGGCAGAAGCAGGCTTTCCACGTATCGAATCCTTTGAGTGGAACAGAACTTTTCAATCATATGATGGTGACATGTCAAACCTCTTGCAATATGCATCAGTTTTAGATGTGCATCAAATCCCGATGGACCAATTCCATGGTGAACATGAAGAATTCCAGGTGATGCAAACCCGCCTGACACCTCCTGAAAGCATGCAAAAGGGTTCAAACGCCGGCAATTCAAGTGAGGATGATCCCATACCTCTTGACTGGATGATTGACTTACAAAGAATTGTGCAGCAACACGTTGACCAATGCCAAGCTGATCCTCAAACAGAATTCCTATTTTCTGTATATACTTGGTTTTTGGATCACAATTCACAAAAAGTTTGTCGTGAACCGAAAATAGCTACATTGGGAGGAGATCCAACAGAGTGGGAGGAAGACATTCTTCAACCCTGGCAACAGAGACTGGACCGACAAGAGCATGTGTACATAGATCATGTACAGCCTGCAGTGCCGCGATCCAGCATTGAGGAGCATCTAGCCCACATCATTTTGACTCAGCACCCGGAGGATTTATCATCAGTTCTGTTTTCAATGGAATTTGTTGACGATCAGGCTGTAAGTGTGATCGTCAGGACAGCTGTGATGGTGCCCAGGAATTGCCAACAACAAGACATTGTTAGGATGGTGTCTCTGTTCGAATCATTTTCCCAAAATCAAATAGCCTGGAAATTTCCTGAGCTTAGCAGTTCTGATCAAGCTTTCCGTACGTGGTCGGGCATGGGTCTCAAAGTGGACATTTATGCTGACAATGAACACAATATGGCTGAAGAAACCAGTCTATTTCAGGTGTGTAGTCTGTCGAATCGAAGAGATGTGTTGCACCAGTTTGATTTGAATAGCAGACAACCATGCACTCAGCCCTCACGAAGTTGCATCAAAACATGTCAGTCGTCGATTTCCAGAAGTGTGTCGTCGCCCAAGTTCACGAACAGAGTTGACATGCTTATGATTCGGGATGATTATTCATTTGCAAAAGAGTTTTCCATTAGACATTGCGACCTTTTGGATTGGACAGACAAACCATGGCAACTTTGGATGAAAGACAATCAAGATAGATGGTTCCTACGTGCTCCGCCGTCTGAAAAGGCCGTGTTGAGCTGCGGACAACCCTTGCCAGATTGCACCATCACTCCCCCAATCCAAGTTGCCGTATCACGGATCACCATGGACGCCCTGAGTGCCTAGCACCTGAGCTTACGCCAGCTGGACCCAACGATCAGGACAATGCACAAGAAGCACTGACAATTCCGATTCCGACATTCCTCCAACACCTTCTAGAAATGGCACCAGTTGAAGATGAATGGAATGATGATCTGGCCATGGAATTTTTTGTTCGTACATGGTTTATCCACCATCTCGGTCATCAAAAATGTGAAAGGCCTCGTATAATTGAGCTGGGTAGAGAATGGCAAAGATGGCATGCAGAGATCTTGCAGGGTTGGACTGACTTTATTGGCCCGCAACAAGAGCACAGTGTCCATGTCGTCAAGCAGACCCACCCCGATCAGCAGTCCATCAAAGAGCTGCTGCGGATTTAATCATCACAGCTGGACCTGACCTTCAACGATTTGGAGGGTTAGTCGCACTCACTTCATTGGTGAATGTAGATGATTTGAGGTTTTCAATTGCAGCGTCTTTTCCTTCAGATGTCAGTGGACTCATGATCAGAAATATCGGAGAAGCTGATGTAATCTGTGATCAGAGAAGGTGCAACATCTATCATGGATGGGTAGAAATCCCACAAACATTTGATCGGGACCATCGAATGGCAGATGGGGATTCATTTGTGATTTACCTGGGACCACCTCAAGAGACTTCCTCAGATGCAGCCGAAAATTTGCCATCGAATGATGCAGTCCTGAATGATGATCACGACTATGATGACAGCCCAGCCGGTCAAAGTGCCCCACAGGCAGAAGAACTAGCTCAAGAGTCAACCACTGGATCAGCCACAGGATCAGATGGAAGACTTCCTGCTCGCTCAAGATCTCGAGGGACACAGCACCAAAGAGATCAAATGCAAACAGTCAAGCTATACTGCCTCCACCGTCCAACAGTTCAGGGTCGGGTCAGATGGGGAATTTTGACAACCTACTCGTAGATGTTGCCCGTCTGCTTACAGTTCCAGTTGCTAGAATTTCTGCACTGCACTACATGAGAGCACAGCCAGTAGGAGATGCAGATCAAATTGAACCCATAATCGTCCAACTTCTGCATGATATCCCAGACGGCTCGACGGACAAATTGCTGCTACTGGATGTTGAGACACATCAAACATCCCACATGCCTCAGATGCCTGTGACTCCCATTGTAACTCGCCAAGTCCGAAGAGTAGTCACGCACATGGCCAGAGCACATGTCTTAATGACTGGAGGGGTAGCACACTTATGTGGATTACATCAGGATCGATGTCTTGTCCATATGGATCACACTCTCTGGAACATGCAAGACATTGGAGTACGCACCTTCATTCATGGACACTACATTCGGATAGTCGTGCCAGAATCCAATGATGACAATAGAATAGCCGCCAGGACCCATTCAATTGAGAGATGCCTGTCAGACACAGTCTCTCTGGCAGATGGCGGACTTCATGAGGTAGGCGGTTCATTTCCTTCAGATCAACATGTTCCCAATGGTGTGGCCGTCCCTGGAAACAAAGTGTGGCCCACAGATCAACAAGATCACCAGGATGTGCCAATCATCCTTGAGCCGAGTGAACCACTCGTGAACATGATGCCAAGACATGATGGCAATTTGCAGTACACGGATTTGCATGTCTTGTTTGGTCCCAACAGCAATTCCAATCGGTATGATGAGGGCAGTCACGTACATGTCATGACCTGGTATATTCACCACGAAGCCCGACCAGTGTGTGAACGGCCAAGACCAGTGCGCCTCTCAAACCCGATCATCACATGGTTGGACGATTTGAGAAGAGCATGGATGGATCACATGGACCCTGAGACTGTTCTGGCTGTTCATGTATTTGTCCAACCCCAGCTAGAGACAGGAGAAACCGACATGCGTGTCACATTCTCTTGGAACAAGCCCATCACCCTGCCGTTTCAGCAGGAATAGCGACAGGTCTAATCGAAAGTGAGCACACTGACTGGATCGTTCAGAAAGCTTTTTCGGTTGGCAGCCCCGCACACTTTCAAGAAGTGAAAGCTTTGCTGCACTTAGACAACAGTTGTACAGCCATGCGATGTAGCTTCTCATGGGGACCACAAGAATTGGGCTTAGAAGAACACCACATGCTTCCTGCTGGCTTTAGTGTGAACATCCGTGTCAGTAGACCAGCCACCGATGCCACAACAGATGTGCAAAGTCATTTTGAGGAATTGTCTTTGATGCAAACATCTGAGCCGCAAACCATGACAGGAAGATGGAAAAGGCAGGGTACGAACTTGCCACCCACCAATGACGAGTGCCACCATTTCAGCTTCAATCCAGATGCGCCTGAATTTAGACCCGGAATGTTTCAACTTGCTGGATATTCGGAATTTATTCAGGATCTGGCAGTGGCATGGGATACTGTTGCTTTTTCTTGGCAGGATGAACCTGCATCTGCGAGGATCATTACATGGTTCGTCGATCATCGTTTTCCATTTCCACGATGTTTACATGGAAGAGAAGTCACACTGTATGATGACTATGCCGCATGGGAAGAGCATATCAAAAGAAGATGGGTTGACCAGTTGGACTTAAGATATGATTTGGAAATGCACTTGATCACCCCGACACCGCCAAGGTTGGAGCCAGAGATTGCTGCACACGTAGTTCTTATCCAGGCTCCTGGAATGGACTGGGTATCAAATTTAGTGTCGGTAGATGACCGGATGTGGCATCCTTTCAATGCAGGCTATCCTACTGGACTAATCATTACCACACACGAACACATACGTTTTGAACACGTTGTGCAAGCATGTGGATATGACGAGGCATGCATCTGGCCGATAGGATTCCTAGGGGGCCCACCATGTGAAACATGGAGCAGAGCCAGAGAGCACTCTGTGAAGCATCAAGGAGCTGTACGAGATGGGCCTCGGGTGGTGAGAACCGTCGACACTCCTTGGGGTATGGATTGCTTAGCGCTCAGGGAAATCAGGCAAATTTTGATTGGCAATCAGTTGATGTTCTTTGCAATCCTTATGATGGTGGAATTGTACTACACAGGAGGCTGTGGAGCACTAGAGCATCCAGCATTGCCATCCAAGCAGACTTCCGCTTCAATCTGGAGGACACCGTTGATGGAGTTGTTGCTCAGTTTACATGAGTTTGCCCTACTGGAATTTGCACAAGGGCTTTTGGGTGCGGCGACGGCCAAACCGACCATGATTCTGGCACTGCGGCTTCCGTCTTTGAGCCTCCAGATTTGCAAAGGGCGGGTAGTTGCTGACTTGCCAAAAGGGGCAAGCCTAGGACTGGGAAATGATGGGAAATTCAGAACGATGATTCTGAAGGAGTACCCCCTAGCCCTTTGCAGCGCTTTAGCTGCTGCGTTCGGGCATTTTATGGATACAATATCCATCGACGCCCATGTGCAGGTATCCCAGCATTTCCAGGACACGTGTTCTGCCATGCACGTACAGGAGTATGGAACGGAGATCGGACCGGATTTCGCTGGGTATGCCCCTCAGTGACCACGAATTCAATGCTGTGGCCGCGGCGTGAGCCTCTACGTGCCTGAAGCAAAATTGGTGGAATGTAATGTAATGTGATGTAATGTTTTTTTGTTATGCAATGTTATGTTATGTTATGTATCTATGTTCTGTTGTGTTATGTATGTATTGGTTAATATAATCCCACAACCAATGGAGTGTTTTGCTTTCGGGATCCACTTGTGGATCTCGACGCATCAGCGCTTGGGGGCCGATACTCATCCGGGAGATTTCACGGAACACCATTTTCCTATTCCAATATATAGATTTTAGGAAACCCATGAATTTTTTCTATTCAAATTTACTTTCCTATGTATATTTTCACATACCCTCTGGTAATTAAACATAGCCATTGAAAATGACCATAGAAATAGTGGATTTTCCGATTAAACATGGTGATTTTCCATAGGTTTTTGTATGTTTACCAGAGGGTATTTGAGGAAACCTATCATTTTTTCTATTCAAATATATGGCCTCTCCGGTTCACAAGAAGTAAATCAATCCATTGATGAAACACGTTCCCCACAGAAGGAAAACCTTCTGGCTGAAAAACCACGGGATACCAACATGTGGCACCAACATTAGAGCTGTTGAATTGATCCATGTGGCTAACATAGAGGTGTGTCCAATGTTCTGGCGATACAAATGGGATCATTAAACAAACATCATTGGGTTGATCATGGATGATACATAAATACATGCATAAATATATAAATAGATATCCATTAAAATATCATCCATGATAAAAACAAACAGTTTTCGACAACGCCAAGCCACGCATCTTCAGCTTCCATCAAGCGTTGAGCCAAGCGCCAGCTGCGCTGAATGATTTTGATGCGCCCAGCAAGTTCTCGGCCTGGAAGTTACGGTGGAATTCCATGGGATGTATAGCTGGTTGGTGGTTGACCTACCCCTCTGAAAAATGATGGAGTTCGTCAATGGGAAGGATGACATCCCATATATTTAATGGAAAATAAAACATGTTTGAAACCACCAACCAGATAGGGAAATTATAAGGAATTCCATGGGATGTATAGAATCTTCAGATTTTTCTCATGGGATGAATAAGAGGAAATGTTGGAATTTCTATGGACCTATAAGAAATGGATCTATTTTATGGACTTAGATACCTATAAGATATAGGGTTTAGTTGGATGTCATGGCGTGTTTTTTTTGGGGGGTTGTTTTTCGTGAACAGACTGGGTGTGTCCTTCTGGGGGATAGAAACACAGAAGATATGGTCACCTTAAAGGGGATAATGATGCTCAACCGATGGATTCAGTGATATCCTAGTTTCAAACAAATCCACGCTGCAAATTTTGGAGAACATTGGCAACCAACTTTTTGTTTTCTCTTTTTTGCAGGTTGGGTATGCTTGGGTTACAATGTGTCACAGTTGCACATATTTTCACGATTTGTCAAAGGTTAATCCAGTGACAAAGAAAAATCAGAGAGCAAACAGAAATAGAAGAATTGTCACCAATCAAACAGGGATTGCACCATAAAAACTAGATGGACAAGTACTCAACATAATGAACATCTCTTGCGAGGGTGCCGCTTGAACAGTCTTAGCCCATTTAACAATGACAATCCAGGCTCAACCCCAAACATATACTTTCAATCTCGGTTTCTATGGGTTTTGGCTCCTCAGCTCTACCAAAAAAAGGCTTACCCTCCGGTAATCAGCTCCATGGCTTGCTGGAGCGTCCCCCCATTTGGTCGCAGCCATGTTTGAGTACTGAAGATGCCACAGCTTGAAATTTGCAGCGAAGATCTGCCGAGGCGCGAATAAACATGAAGGCTCCTGACTTGAAGTCACGGAGTGGTTCATCTGTGGATATGATCGGCCCTAATGATGGGTTGAACAACAAATTAGGGATTAAAGATGAGTTCAGCATCAACAAACGCGGGAATTCAAAATGAACCAACGAAACCGTTGAGTTAACCAAGGAACATGCCTCAAAAAGGTTGTACTCCCCATGAAATCTGGGAATACACACAGTGCTATCTTGATCCCATTTGCATGAAACTAAGCAAAAAATGTCGCCCGACATCATAATCAAAGCACTATCAACTGGCCTACTTTTGCTTTGCCCAGCTTGCTTACCAATTTTGTTGCTTTTTTGGCACCACAAGCAAGATATGTGCATGTGTCCTCCCACATAGTTCAGCAGGGCAGTCATGCTGAGTCTGGCAGCACTGCTGAATTGTGCGCCCAGTTCCTTCGCGATGGCATGTTGCGGGAGGATGGCACTTTTGCGGGTTTTATAAACCACAAAATATCTGGAGATACGGAGTTTTCCTAAATTGGGGCTATGGTTTTGGGGATCCCCCACTTTAAGAACCCCCCATATTCATTGGTCACTGTTTTACAAAACTGCACCAAACCCTGCGACATCACCCCCCAAAATGGAGACAGTAATCAACACACATTGGGGAGATGATGTGGGCGGGTGTGGCGATCTAACATGTGGCACAATAGAACAGAATAGAACCACTCGATAGGTACATTCTGAAAATTCTTGGCTTAACTCACTAACATTCATGCCACGTGACCCAAGAGATCTTGAGAAATCTTTTGTTGGTAGTGCAATGGCCTAGCCTTCTGCCGGTTTGCCAAACCAGCCCAAGCTGGTAAAAACCCTGGACAAATCACACTTTTGCTGCTTGAACTGGGTATAGTTTTGCCGACGTCCAAATTTTGTTGGATGCGATGCAATTCTTGCTGCTAAATCCAATTTTTGCGGGTTAAATCCACATTCTTGATGTTTCCATCAGCATTGTGACGGGTTTCATTCACAAAAAACCCACTGGTTGTTCAAGTCCCTTTTCTTTGTTTTGCCTTGGACCGATTCAGCTTCCGTTGAGCGATTTTGTCATCCCGAGTATGGATATCCATCACATCCATCACCGGGGAAAAAGTCACCTAAGTCACCATTCCCGAAAGGACGCAGGCGCCTGATCCATGACATTGAGGATGCAGTCACGCACCTGGCGAATCCATGGGTCGTCGGCTGCTCCCGAAAACAACTCCAGAAAAAACTCACGACCGAACATGTGGCGAGTTTTTCAGCACCCGGATGGTACCCTAAAATAGCATAGCTGGATGTTTCTTCCCCACAATATGGTAATGATAGGCTTTGACCCATCCCCATCTCTCTATCAAATTTGATCCCCAAAGTCACCTTTACCACGCTTCAAAGAACTTCCCTCAAACCTACCGAAGTGCTGCACTTGCTGCGTCTACTGGTTTAAGCTGATTGTGGGAACATGCCTTGCGAGCTGTGGCAAGTTGCCAACTTCGACCTATCCAATCTACCTCCTGACCAACGTATCTATTGACCTATCCATCTAGTCCATCTGTGTCGTCCATCTCTGACATAAAATCGCTTCCAACCTTCATCCCATCTCTCCTCCCCTGAAGTACACGAAAACTCCACATGGATGGGGCTATCCGCCGCATTTTAACAGTTTGCTATCGAAAATCACAATGTTGAATAGGTAAAATCATCTATTCATGGCCCATTTTCCGCTATGTTAAATTGCCAGAGGGTCTCTGGTCCTTTACGTCTTGAGGTGGGAGTGCAATTCCCATCATCGACCCTACCACACGAGATCTAGGTTGACTTCACCCGAAACCATGCACTTCACTTTTCCCAAAGGTCTGGGTAAATGATCATATTTCACCTGAATCTTGCGGCCATTTGGGGATGATTTCCCGAATCCTAACCATTATTCCCAGACTTCGGGAGAACAGGTGGCATCCCAGAGATACCAAAATCGACGCATTCTGTGCCCAACAGGTCCCAAAATGATAAGTTGCTAAGCCAAATGTCTGATATCCAAGTTATCGTTCCATCCGTGAGTTTTTTCATAGTGGCTTGTCCCAAAACAGGGATAAACCCATTCTATCCACTGCTTGATCATCATGTTCCCGACTTTCTAATGGCCATATCGGGTAAATCCCAATCCGGGAATCAAACTTGTCTGCCTCGGAAACCCACCGATAAAAAAAACTTCCATTTATAGGGGATGTCCACTGATCTTTTCCCATTGTTTGTAGGGGATTTCCTAGCCAGCCACGGAAACACACCGGAAACCCAAGCCATCGACCAGAGTCCGGGCACGAGATCCACTCGGGGTGCGCTGACGTCGTGGTCCAAGTGCTGAAAGCCGAAGGTTTCAACCTGTTGGAATTCCCCAAAAAAACAGCGGGCATAATATTAATCCATATCCAGAGAAATCTATATTATGGTTTATCTAAATATCTAAACTCTAATCTTAATCTATACCTAGAGACATTAGGTATGTACATATATATATATAGAGACTCGACAGATTTATATTATGGTTTAGCTAAATACTTTATTCTTTACAATATCTACTTTTCGAAGTAAGTTTAGAAGTCAAACTTCCGACAATATGGACAGATGAAAAGCAGAGATGGGAAGATTCAGAGAAGAGAAGAGAAGAAGAAAGAATATCAAAAAGGAGAAAATCTTGGAAGAAAGAAGATCCAGGTGCGCGAAAAGGTAGGAAAGTCGCAAGACACTGTGTTTTTCCAATGATTTGTGGCTCCGGAGGGTCGAAAAGTAGGCGGGTGCGGAGCCAGCTGGCCAGATGAGAGATGAGCAGTTGCGCGCCTTTGTGGCGCGAAGCACCTTTGCAAGTGAAAAAGCTAAAAACACCTCAGGTTCGGAACACTTTTTTGGAAGCTGGGATGTCGAAAAAGTGCGCGCCGTTGTGGCACGAAGCACATTTCGAAGTCAAAATGTACAAAACACCACATGCTCGCGCCACTTTTGGACGTTGAAGTGTCGTTTTGCGTGGCAGGTGCAAGGGATTGTGCACCTTGTCAAGAGTGAGTAAAACGTGCGGGTTTTGTAGCATTTCCAAAAACGATGGCAGGCATGGGACATTCGAAGAGGATCTGGAAAGATGCATTTTCCCTGGCAGGCGCAGTGCAAGAGGCATGTTCATCAGAGCTGTTAGGAGGTCCGGGCACTGATTTCCTGAGAGGGGTTGCATTTTGGAGCATCAGATCTTCAGTTTGGGGAAGATAATTTTGCGTGACAGGTGCAGCACTTGAGCTGGCATCACTTTTTCGTGGCGGGCGCAGTGCTTTAGACAGGTGGAGTGGAAAAATTGCAAAACGCATTGGTACGAGGCCGTCAGCGCTGCACGCAACTTTCCATTTTTGAAGGAAGTCTCGCAGAATTGCTTCGTTTCTGATGGTGTCAAGTTTGAAAAATGAAGAAGTCTCGCAGAATTGTTTCGTTTTTAACGTTGTTAAGTTCAAAAACTGAGGAAGTCTGGCTGAATTGCTGCATTTCTGATGTTGTCAAGTTCAAAAACTGAGGAAGTCTCGCAGAATAGCTTCATTTTCAAGCTTGCAGATAGATAGATGACAGACACAGAGAGAGAGAGATTAGCTAGATAGATTAAATAGATTAGATAGATAAGGCAGATAAAATAGATAAGATAGATAAGATAGATAAGATAGATAAGATGGATAAGATAGATAAGATAAGATAAGATAGATAAGATAGATACGATAGATAAGATAGATAAGAAAGAACGATAGATAGATGATAGATGATAGATAGATAGATAGATAGATAGAAAGATAGATAGACAGACAGACAGATAGATAGATAGATAGTAAGATAAGATAAGATAAGATAAGTTCAAATAAGACCAGAAAAGATAGAGGGTAGATAGATAGACGCATAGATAGATAGATAGATAGATAAATAGATAGATAGATAGATAGAAAGATAGATTAATAGATTATTCCGATTGATAGATAGATTAATTAGATAGATAGATTAATTCGATAGGTAGATGGATTAATTAGATAGATATAAAAATTAGTTAGTTAGTTAGATAGATAGATAGATAGATAGATAGATAGATTATTTAGATAAGATAGAAAAGATAAATACGATAGATAAGATGGATAAGATAGAAAAGATAGATAAGATAGATAAGATAGATACGATAGATAAGATAGATACGATAGAAAGATAGATAGATGAGATAGATAAGACAGATAAGACAGATAAGACAGATAAGATAGATAAGATAGATAAGATCGATAAGATAGATAAGATAGATAAGACCGATAAGATAGACAAGATAGATAGATAAATAGATAGATAGACAGATAGATAGATAGACAGACAGATAGATAGCTAGATAGCTAGCTAGATAGATAGATA